CCAGGTTCTGGTGAACAGGGGACAGAGCACTGCAAGGCAATACAGGACCCCTTCTTTATAATGCCATTACTTTCAACAACAAGAGAAAGCTGACATTCCTAATACAAAGAAGCTGACACAGAAAGAAAAATTAAAAGACAGAAGAATATGTCCCAAATGAAAGAACAGGACAAAATAACCACAAGAGACCCAAGCAAAACAGAGATAATTTATATGCCTAAGAGATAACTTAAATTTATGTTCATAAAAATACTCACTGGACTTAAGAAAAGAGTAGAAAACATCAATGAGACCTTTAACTCTGAGATAAAAAAAGAACCAATCACTGATGAAGAACACAATACATTAAATTGAAAATACACTAAATGGAATAAAGGAAATAGATCAAATCAGCCACCTGGAGGACAGAGTAATGGAAAACTAACAAACTGAGCAGGTGTGAGAAAAAAATTATGCAAAATGAAAAAAGACATGGAGAACTCAACGAGAACATCAAGTATAATAACTTATCATTATAAAGATACCAGAAGTATAAGAAAAAGAAAAATAAGGGCAGAAAATTTATTTAAAGAAATAATAGCTGAAAACTTCCCAAATCTGGAAAAGGAAACAGAAATCCAGATCCAGGAGGCACAGAGAGCTCCTAACAAAATCAACCAAAGGAAGTCCACACCAAGACACATAGTAATTAAAATGGAAAAAGCAGGGGCACCTGGGTGGCTCAGTTGATTCAGTGGCCAACTCTTGATTTCAGCTCAGGTCATGATCAGGGTCTCAAGATTGAGTCTTGAGTCAGGCTCCATGCTCAGTGGGGAGTCTGCTTCAGATTCTCCCTCTGCCCTACCCCCTCTCTCTCTTTCTCTAAAATAAATAAACAAATCTTTTAAAAAATGAAATGGAAAAAGTAGTGATAAAGACAAAATTTTAAAAGAAGCAAGACAAAAGAAGATAGTTACATACAAAGGAAACCCCCCCATAAGGATATTAGCAGATTTTTTTTCAATTTTAAACTACTTTATTGAGGTATGATTGATGTACAAAAAGTCATATATATTTAATGTATACAACTTGATGAGTATGGAGATAAATACACATCAATGAAACCATTATCACAATCTCTGCCATGAACATTTCCATCACCACCAAAAGATTCCTCCTGCGCCCTTTATAATTATCATTATTAGTGATAAGAATACAAAGTAATGGAATGCCTGGGTGGCTCAGTCATTAAGCATCTGCCTTTGGCTCAGGTCATGATCTCAGGGTCCTGGGATCAGGTCCCACATCGGGCTCCTGCTTGGCGGGGAGCCTGCTTCTCCCTCTCCCACTGCCCCTGCTTGTGTTCTCTCTCTTGCTGTGTCTCTCTCTGTCAAATAAATAAATAAAATCTTAAAAAAAAACAACAAAGTAAGATACACTCTCAGCAAATATTTAAGTATATAATTTGGTATTGTTAACTATAAGCTCTATGCTATACAGCAGCTCTCTAGGACTTACTCATCTTGCATAACTGAAACTTCATACCCTTTGAATAATACCTCCCTGTTCCCCCCTCACCGAGCCCTTGGTGACCACCATTCCACTCTCTGCTTCTATGAGTCTATTTTAGATTTCTCATATAAGTGGGATCATGCAATATTTGTCCTTCTGTGACTGCCTTATTTCACTTAGCAGGATGTCCTCCAGGTTCATCCATGTTGCCACAAATTTCAGGATTTCCTTTTTTTCTAAAGCTGAATAATATTCTTTTATATGCATATACCATATATTCTTTATCTATGCATCTACTGATGGACACTTAGTTGGATTCCATATTTTGGCTATTAGGAATAATGCTGCAGTGAACATGGGTGTGCAGTATCTCTTTGAGATCCTGATTTCATTCCCTTTGAATATATACCCAGAAGTAAGATTGCTTGATCTTATGGTAACTCTATTTTTAATTTTTGAGGGACCTCTATACTGTTTTCCATAGTGGTCACATCAATTTATATTCCCACCATCAGCAGATTTTTCAGCAGAAACTTTACAGGCCAGAAGAAAGTGGCACGATATATTCAAAGTGATGAAAGGGAAAAAATCTGCAGGCAAGAATAGTCTATCCAGCAAGGCTATCACTCAGATGGGGTGCCTGGTTGGCTCAGTCAGTTAAGTGCCTGCCTTCGGCTCAGGTCATGATCCTGGAGTCTTGGGATCGAGCCCCATGTTGGGCTCCCTGTTCAATGGGGAGTCTGCTTCTTCCTCTCCCTCTGCTTATCCCCCTGCTCCTTCTCTCTCTCTTAAATAAATAAATAAAATATTTTTAAAGGGCTATCATTCAGAATAGAAAGAGAGATAAATAGCTTCTCAGATTAACAAAAGTTAAAGGAATTCATGACCACTAAACCAGCCCTACAAGAAATGTTGAAGGGAAAGCTTTGAGTGGAAAGGGAAGACCATAAGCAAGAGTAAGGAAAGTAGGAACCATGAAAGCATCAAAAATAAATATATCTACAAATATCAGTCAAGAGATTCACAAATTAAAAGGAAGTATGATACCATATACCTCAATGTGGAGAAATGAATAGGTTCAAACTTAAGTTACCATCAACTTAATATATATTGCTATATGCAGATGTTATATACAAACCAAATGGTAACCATAAATCAAAAATCAGTAATAGATATACGAAAATTAAAAAGAAAGGAATCCAAGTATATCACTAAAGAAAAAGCCAACTAATCACGAAAGAAGAGAGCAAGAGAAGAAAGGAACAAAGAAAACTACCAAAACAACCAGAAAATTGGAAACAAAATGACGATAAATACATGCCTATCAATAATTACTATGAATATAAATGCACTAAATGCTCCAAATAAAAGACATAGAGTGACAGAATGTGTAAAAATACAAGACCCATCTGTATGCTGCCTACAAGAGACTCAGTTCCAACCCAAAGACACCTGCAGATTGAAAGCAAAGGGATGGAGAAGCATCTATCATGCAAATGGTTGTGAAAAAAAAAAAAATCCATGGTAGCAATACTTATTTCGGATAAAATAGACTTCAAAACAAAGATAGTAACAAGAGACAAAGACAGAGACTATATAATAAGAAGAAGAACAAACTAACAAGAAGATATAACAATTGTAAATATTTATACACCCAACATGGGTGCACCCAAATACTTAGTAGTCAATAACAAACATAAAATAAGAAATCAATAGTAATTCAATACAGTAAGGGGACTCTAACACACCACTTACATCAAGGGACAGATAGTCTAAACAGAAACTCAACAAGAAAAGAGTGGCTTTGAATGACACACTGGAACTGATGGATTTAACAGATATATTCAGAACACCCCATCCTAGAACAGAATACACATGCAAGTGTACAAGGAAAATTCTCCAGAATCGATCACATATTAGGCCACTGACTTGAAATCATTTGAGAACTAAAATATCTCTTTTTCTTGGAGCTCTGCAAACTAAATATAAATGACTTAGGGTAAAGAAATAACCATAATAGCTCATGCATAGACAATCTTTGTGCTGTTGCTCTATGGGCCACTCAAAAGATCACCAGAGACATTTGAACTATAAGCAAGGAAGATCAGTCAAGTTGCCACTAGCTGTCCTCACTCTATCTGAAGATGTTTCAAGTCTGACATCTACAAGTCTTATCAACTGGCTACCCTCAGAACTCAGAAACAGGCTTAACATTTGATCTAAACATTAACCATTGTTTTTCTTTTGTTTCCACAGAAATGCCTCTTATTTAACACCTGGTTACTTGAACGATAGGCCTAACTTTGAGAATAAACCTGCATCATTACCTCCTGAAATGAATTTAACTAAATTGACCTATTGTCAGAACTAAGAGACTACATCAAGGAGATGAAACCACCTACCAGCTCAACTTTTAATATGTGAAAACCCCAAGGACGTTTCAGATGGGGGAACTGAAGGGGTTCAGGACAGGTCCTCCCGCCATAATGTGTCACTTTGGCATGTGGACTATTTTGAGCTGAAAGCACTTGAGACTCTGCAGGCTTAAAAGAAACGCTCCCCCCCCTTAACTACATAGAACAATCTAAATTGGGGGTCTTTCCCAGAATAAGGGTTATTAGCTGAGATAAATTTTATCTCAATGACCCATCTGTATGATAGGACAAATATCTAATTAGTGAACAACTGCTCTTTTTATCACCCTGTGAAATGTATTCCTTTCCTCTGAAATCCCAGACCCTTACCCCCTTCTTCTTAGTTCAGAATGGCATCTATACCTCATTTTGTCTGTCTTTGGAATTTCCATGTCTATGTGGATTCCCTGTATGTACACCTATTACACATGATTTTTTTTTTCTGTTACTCTGTCTCATGTTAATCTGATTCTTAGTCCAGCTAGAAGAACCTTTGAGGGGACAAGAATTCCAACTCCCTGACAAGCCATATTCGCTAATGTACTATGAGATTTTAAATGTCTCCAGAAGTGGGACTTCCATCCACTCTTTCACCATCAATTAGAAATATGGAATTTTTACCTAAAATTAGATCCACACAAATTCACTCTTTTTCTTTTTCTTTCTTTCTTTCTTTCTTTCTTTCTTTCTTTCTTTCTTTCTTTCTTTCCTTTCTTGCTTTCTTTCTTTCTTTCTTTTTCTTTCTTTCTTCTTTCTTTTCTTTCTCTCTCTCTCCCTCTCTCTCTTTCTTTCGTTCTTTCTTTCTTTCTTCCTTCCTTCCTTCTTTCTGTTCTTTTTTTTTTTGAAACTTCCCTAACTGCTTTTATTTTCCCCTCCTTTATGGTTCTATACCTTTCACAGATGTGATTAAAATGCCATGTCCTGACTTTTTATGCTTACTACTAGTAGTAATTCTGCAAAACTGCATGTTATTAGCACAGGTAGTACATTATACAGGTAAAAAGCCTAGGGTCCAAAATAAGACTGCCTGGATTTGAGTCCTGGCTCTGCCACACACATCACTGTCTCATTTTCCTCATCTGTAAAATGGGGACAGTGCTCACTTCAGCAGAACATATCCTAAAATTAGAATGATACAAAGAAGGTTAGCATGGCCCCTGTACAAGGATGACACACAAATTCGTGAAATGCTCCATATTTTTTGGACATTAAGGAGGGAACGTGATGTAATGAGCACTGGGTATTATATAAGACTGATTAATCACTGAACTCTACCTCTGAAACTAATAATATATTATATATTAATTAATTGAATTTAAATTTTAAAAAATAAAATAAAATAAAATGGGGACAATCATAGCACATGTGTAACTCTTAGAAGACTAATTAACACATGCATGCTCACACATTAATTTTAATTATGATCTCCAGAGTATAACAAAGAACATGTTTCTCAAAGGAAAACAGTTTATGGTATAAATATATATTAATTTTATATATGGTATAAATACAATCATATGTATAGATAAATATGGTCATTAAATTTTAGTAAAATCATCTACAGATTATTTATATAATGCATTTTTCTACTACTCCTTATTAAAAAAAATCCCAACCACTTCAAATTATCTTAGATATGGTATGGTAGAAGAGAAAGAGCAGGATTTTTATTTAGAAAACCTATACAGGTTTCTCCCACTATTCAAAGTTAGAACATTCCTGTGAAACCTTTCATAAGCCAAAAGGTTTCACAAACCTTTTTATATCACATAAAGCGAAGAGTAGTCCCTGGTTTCCAAAAGTTTGCATTAAGCCACTTCATTTTTAAGAAAGACCTGCATTAATACCTGTTTTTGCTAACCAAAGTAAATCTGAGAGGATTTTCACTTTTACAGAAAAAATCCGTTAGCATACTAATGTAGGTCTTTTGTAAAAGCAAAGATGGGTAATATTTGTACTCAAATTTTAGCTCTAACATTTACTTGCTGTGTGCCTGCATGCAAAATTCTTACCTCCCCGAGACTCATTCTCTTTGTAAAATAAGGATAATAATAGTACTCACTTCATAAAATTTTTATGAGGTTTAAATAACTTTGGAAATACTCAATAATATACATTTTTATGTTAAATGTTCAAAAATATTCAGAACTCTGTGTAGTTGGACTTCCTGGCTTGATATTCATGATGGTTAATTTTATGTGTGAACTTGAAGGGTGTTTTTGGATGAGATTAATATTTAAATCAGTGGGCTTTGAGTAAGTACATTGCCTTTCATAATGTTTATGGACCTCATCCAATCAGTTGAAAGCCTGAATAGAACAACAACAACAACAACAAAACCCCCCAGAGAAAGAAAGAATTCTCCAGAAGCTTGTTTTTGGACTTTATCTGCACCATGAGCTCTCCAGGGTCTCAGTACTGCCAGTCCACACTGCAGATTCGGACTAGCAAGCCATTGCAATTGCCTGAGCCAATTCCTTATAATAAACCTTTCCCCAAAAATATGCACATTCTACTGGTTTTGTTTCTCCGCAGAACCCTGACTAACAGAATATCCCAGCTCTACAACTTACCGTGACTTTGTACAAATTACTTAACCACTCTTAGCCTTATTTCTTCATCTACAAAATGAAAATAACAATGCTTACCTAACTTGCTTGTTGTGAGAATTAACTGAGTTAAAAATCTATAAAGTGGCTAGCCCACTATTTGGCACCTAGGAAGTTCTCAGGAAATGCTTCATGGAGTACCTGAAAGCAGGAGACACTATTTCCCCAGATAAGGATGTGGCTGTTTTCCATTATTTTGTTCAAGAACTAAAAGAACATAGGTTTATAAACAGTCTCTTTAAAGCAAAATACACGATTGCCAGGAAAAATTCTTTCAGAAAAGTGAGGTAGGTCCCACAGATAAAAATTTGGTATATGAAAAATGTTTCACTATTTTCTCAGATGCAGCCATTTTCTCAGACATACCAGAGCCACATCATGTGTGGTCAATGTAATCTTAGGGCACTGGAGCAATGAGAAAACTAAGCTAATATATGCCTCATTTTGTCTGCCCTATGTGGTCCCTACTTCAGGTAAGTTTCTATATCCTTAGTTTGTGTATCACCATTTTCTGAGAAGGCATTTATGTATCCCCATGACACCAATTTATTATTTTAAAAAAGAACATACCAAAAAAGATTTGTTTATTTTGTAGTCTAGTCCAGTCTATTACATCTTGCATTGCTAGTTTCAACCTACTCAATTAATTTTACAATTCATTGGTTGGTTGCCAACCAGAGTTTGAAAATCACTGCTCTTTACATTGTTTAATAAAAAAATGTGTTTCATTTTGCTACCCCTCCCTGCTGTATATTCTAGTCAAGACTCCTTTTCCACATGGGAGGCCATTCATTCCTGCTGAAAAGCCACTCTTATTCACTTCCTTCCTGGCACCTTCTGCTCATTCTACATACTCCTCCTGGTTGTTTATGCATGGTAATTGGCTCTGTCACACTTCAAGCATATGATTCTTATAACAAAAATGCTATAAGTCAAGAAAAATGACCTTTTTTAAGTATAAGAAATGGTGACAAGTCCATAAATTTTGTTCCTTTCTGGAGTGGAAAACAAATACTCTTAGTTTTTTATTGCCATGTAACAAATTGCCACAAAGTTAGTGGTTTTGAAAAAATACATTTCCATGGGCCAGGTGTCCAGAAACAGGTTAGTTGGGTCATCTGCTTAGCATCTCACCAGAGTGAAATCAAGGTGTTGGCTGGGGCTGTGATCTCATTTGGGGCTCAAGTTCCTACTCCAAGCTCATTGGTTGTTGGCAGAGTTCAGGTTCCTTGTTGCTATGGCTATAGAACTCATGGTGGCTGGCTTCTTCAAGGTCTGCAGTAGGATATCTCTTCTCAGGAATGGCTTAGTCCCTTTTTGAAAAGCCCACAGGATCACACCACACCTACCCAGGATAATCTCCCTTGTGATTAGCTATAAGTCAACTGGTTAGTAACCTAATCATGATAGTGTTATCGCATTCACAGTTCCTGCTCATGCTCAAGGGGTATGGAAATCATATAGGATATATATATCAAGTCTTAAGAATTATCTCAGAATTTAGTCTACCACACTAAACATCTCAGTTTTCCAAGATAAGTCCTGGGTTTAGCACCGAAAACCCCACATCCCAGGGAAGACCTTCAGTCACAGGCAAACTGGTATAGTTGGTCACATTATCCGCAGAACCTGGGCATGGAACTTGTTCCTGTTCTTCTCTGATACAATGTTTGTAAAGAACGTTGAAATGTGTCGGTAGTCAGATGCTCGAGTCAGTATCATAGAAACACTTGACCAAAACCCTATATTTTTCTTGGTCATATTCCACCTACTGTACACACTAAACAATGTTTATAAATGAAACACTTTGGAGAGGGAAGGAATATCACATTTTCAGGGCTCCTTTTGGATATGCTATGTGTGTCAGTTAATAAATACAGAATTATCTCAGTGATGTGATAAAAAACTTTTTTTTTCTAATTGTAGGCAACAAGAGGTAAAGTCAGCAGTATTTTTAGAACAACTCTAATTAATTTTAAAAATTACTAGTGTGCATAAATTTTATTTTTTTATCCCCCTGAATTTGTTTTACACACTCCTACCTAAATTCAACAAACAGATTATCTTAATAATATTGAAGAATTATAGAATAATAAATGTGGTACTGAGTAAACCATTAAATTATAGTTTATTATCACTTTTTCTATTTTCTTGGTCCTCACTTTTAAATATTATTAGGCAAGTAAAATCCAAAGGAAGATGGGACTTTCTGAGAAAAAGAAAACCTGAATTTTATATTTTGTTATGCATTTTGCTCTCTTCCCATGAGTGGGAAATTATTTTCCTAAATCAAAAACTGAAACCAAGATAATTGTTTTCTATTAATTTATTTCTACTTAACTTATTTTACAACATTTAAAAATAGAATACAAATTCCAAAGGGAAAAAAATCTAGAATATTTCTTCCCATAGTAGAATATAAGTTTTCAGCTTCTATAGGTTATTGGTTCCCTGGAGTTCTTGATATTGAAATGTGATACGTTTGTACTACTGTTCTCTACTTGGAAAGATACATCAATGGCCATTGTTCTTTTTATTATTTGATTTTAGCTTGAACTTCTCCCTCTCTTTCTTCTGTCAGAACAAATTCAGGTGCATAAAAAGATAGTCCCTCAGGTACCTAGTTATTATAAATGACTTCTCATTCTACTTTACATAGGTTTTACTATCAGCTCAAGAAATTTCTTTAAAGTATTAATGGACTTAAGCAATTCTACTCAAAATGACATTTGACTTTTTATTTAAGTTTCAGATGCTTTTCTTTTTCATATAAATATTCAGTGCCCGTGTCTCCTTCCATTTCTTTTCCAAAGGCTTACTTCAGTGTACATGTACATGTGTTCAGTATCATTTGTTGCTTCATGCCAAATATTTCTAATATAATGAGTTTATGTGTTGATTTGGGGGTTTTGGTTTTTTGGTTGTTTTTCCCCTGTATAAGAAGAATTTCTTTTGCTTTCTAGTTTGACCAGTAGACAAACACCAGCGAGATAATACTTCACTGTCCTGATGACTTGTCATCATAAGCAAGGAGGTTATTTCACCACCCCAAACTTGGGAGATCATTTTCCTCTTTCCATTTTCTAGAAGTTTAAGTTAATTTATTTTAAGAAGCACTCAGAAGGAAGGAGGGCAAGGATTTAATACACAACATGGAATTCTGCACGATATGCCTTACTATATCTTAGTAAAACATATTTTGACATAATTGGTGGTTCTGGAATTCTTCCCAGAAGCATAGAAGTGCCTACAATGGGGATAAAACTGAACTACCGACGCTAAATCTAGACACTCATTTCAGACTTTTAATTCTGCCATATGTAAATGTCTTTCCAGGCCTTAAAAATAAAGAAAAAAAGCTTCATTCAGAATGTTTAAGTATATCAAAGAGCACTGTTTCATGGTTACTGCCAATGTTCATTGTTAAACACAGAGGGCCTTGAAGGAAACACAGACTGCTTAGAAATAGAATATTCATCAAGTTATAATGGTTGATGATTATATTGTACATTCGCAAGTTGTTTCCCAAATATATTGCAAAACAACACTTACATGTTGGCATCATATCACCACAACTGGCCAAGAGTGTTTAC